AAACGAGAGAATACGCTCGTCGTTGATTTATAAATTAGAAACCCGGAATTTTTATTTAATACGAAACTCGTATTAATACGTTGATACGATTTAAAAAAAGTCAACTATCGTTCCATAAATATATTACCACTTACCAGTGCTGGTAATGATAAAATTGATCGCATAAAATTGGGTGATAAAGTTGATAAAGGAAAATCAAAGCTAACACAAAAGATAAAAATCAGAATAAAATTAATTTGAATTCACTCCTTGATATTTGTCTTTAGCATCTGTCGCCGGCGTGTAGTACTGGCGGAAATATGGAAACCAAAAATATCGCAATTACGGGGTCATTACGTAATCGATTTGGCCGTAATTACGGAATTAATTTTTGTCAATTACGTGCAAGCCTACTTGGGACAGAGAAAAATTTATCACACCATGCAAAAAACACACAAAATTTTACTATCTATACCTTGGCCAACAAGTCAACTCAAACACCATGCCTTAACATAAAACGCATGCATACATAAATGATATAAAAACCACATCCAATTACAATGACCCACAGCAAATTAAAATCTGAAGGGGAGAAACCAACATAGCTCTACTGCTCGCCTAGTTGCAATAATTAGTAACCTTGCAGGAACAATATTGTACTATCTACAACCCTTATACCACCACTCAAACATAAGACCAAGCGTGTATGATAAGGACATCACAGCTAGAAAAAGATAAAAACACGAGCGTGAAGTGATAGAATGTGTGCAGTTATTTAAAGAAAATATCATCCGGGTACGTTAGCTACCTATATATTTAAAAAAATATATATATATACTCAAGCATGTCACAATACCATTTCTTTGGTGCTGGACTAGTTCTGGCCAAGTCGTGGCAAGATATAACAATATTATTATAGCTGTTCAACATTTTCATTAAAACAATAATGTGCAAGTGTGGAGTGTCCCAAGTTTTTGTCATCGAATACCACCAGTAGTAATTTTTAATATTTGGAAACTAAATGAGACTTGACTTGTTTTTGAAAAGATTTTTTGGACTTTAAGGTCTTCAAATTTAAGGGAAGAGAATTCCAAAGTTTGGGTCCAGTAAAAGACAAGGAATGCTGACTCACGGATTTACTCATGAAAGGTACGAATAAATCAGAACTGCTTCTTCGGTTGGAGGTATTTTTGACAAGTATGTCATTAAAGCAATTGGGCAGCGCATTATTATGGAAGTCGTGAGCTAGAGATAATATTTCAAATTTCATCATATCTTCAACCTTAAGTATATTTAGTGATTTGAAGTAAGATTCTACACTTTCACGTTTTCTTTTACCAAAAACTATTCTTAAAAAATTATTACAAATACTCTGCAGTTTTGAGACAAGTGTTTTATTACCATGAAGCCAGACTGAACAACAATATCGAATATGGCTAAGTAGTAATGATTGAAACATTGCTAGTAGAGCTGATTGATCAACACACTGGGATACTTTGGCAGAAACTGCTAGGTTTCTTTTTGTTTTACCAATAACATGCATTATTTGTGATTTCCATGACAGATTTTCATCAAAGATAACTCCTAGAAATTTTATTTCTTTCACTCTTTCAATTTCATTGCCATTGAGCAGTAGTTTTTTTGAACAACTCACACTTTTATGCTTGCTTGGATGGAATAATACAAATTTAGTTTTGTTAGCATTCAGAGATAATTTATTAACTAACATCCAGCTACGAATGTTGGTTAGTTCTTGGTTTGCAACTGTGAATAGATCTTCAAGGTTTTCCCCATGAAGAATCAAGTTAGTGTCATCAGCAAACATGATCGACTCAGAGGATTTCAGACACCTGGACATGTCATTAATGTAAGCTAGAAAAAATAATGGGCCAAGTAAAGATCCTTGTGGAACTCCGTGCTTCATGACACAAATATTTGTAGAGAATGAGTTGTCATATTGCACAATTTGCTTCCTGTCTTGAAGGTAGCTCTTGATCCAATTGAATGGAACGCCTCTAATTCCATAGTGATAGAGCTTACTTAAGAGGATGGAATGGTCAATGGTGTCAAAAGCTTTTGAGATATCAAGAAATATTCCAATTGCATGTTGTTTGTATTCAAACGCATTGGTCAGTTTGTGTACCAAAACATTAGCAGCCATAGCAGTGGAGTGATGCTTGCGGAAACCAAATTGATGCGAGTGGAAAACATTGTTAGTTTCAAAGTAGTTTGACATTCTACTATACATTATTTTTTCAAGAATCTTAGAAAATGATGGTAAAAGACTAATAGGTCTATAGTTTCCAAGATCTGAAACACTGCCCTTTTTAAAGAGAGGAAGAACTTTGGATGTCTTGAAGCTTTCAATGAATAATTCACTAGATAGTGAAAGATTAAATATATATGTCAGGATATCAATAATATGTTCTGGAACATATTTCAATATTTTAAATGGAATACCATCGATTCCAAAACTTGATTTGGGCTTCATATCGCGTATAATATTTTTTATTTCTAATGATGTAGCTGGCCTTAAGAACATGGATGAGGATTCTTGCTTCCCAAGATATGAAATGTAATTTTTGTCACAGCCAGCTGGTTGTGGCATACAGTCAAGCAGGCTTTGTGCCACTTGGGAAAAGTGTTCATTAAATTTATTTGCAGTTTGTGTATTACTGCAATCAAATCCAATCAAAGGACAAGAATTTGTTTTATTTTTACCAATAAGTTCATTAATTGTTTTCCACACTGCCTTGATGTTGCCTTTGTGAGAAGCAAATTTAGATTTGTAATAATTTGATTTCTTTTTGTGGAGCAATCGAGTATAAAGGTTCCGATTGCTCCACAAAAAGAAATCAAATTATTACAAATCTAAATTTGCTTCTCACAAAGGCAACATCAAGGCAGTGTGCGGAGGCAGGCTGACAATTTCAACATTATTAGCACAAGCGTATTGCAGAACTTTGTCACTACGTGTGTGTGATTCATGCCCATTCAGTATTAGAAGTACTTTTCCAGAGCTGGAGTTGACGTGAGTGCAAAAATGCATTATCGATTCAAAGAACAACTCTTTGTTTATGTAGTCAGATTCACTGTAGCATACCTTGAAAGAAAGAGGAAGTCCTTTTTCCAAGACAGGATTTGTTGTTTACCCTTATAAATTATCATCGGTGGGAAATAATTTCCTGCAGCATTAACAGCTTATATATCAGTCTGTATTTGGCCTCGTTCGCCACTTGGCTGGAATATCGCGCCCCTTCTGAACCAACAGTATTCTTTACACCTGGTTCAAGACTCAATCCAGTTTCGTCCACATTGTAGATACATGCTGACGAATTGAATAGTGATTTTTCTTTCATCACTGCTTCCAGTAGTATTTATTGACTGTGGGCTTGTTTAAATGAAATGCTCTTCGAATTGACAGAGGCTGTGACTTTCGTATAGTAATCGAATTTCCTTATCGTTCACAAATGCAGGAACTCCAATAACATCCTATTACAATCATTATTTGATTCCCAGATACTGTTCGTGACGGGGTATCTTGGATTTTATGCTTCACTTTTGGCCTCTTAGATTACTGTATTTGAGTGTATTAACTCTTTTCTGAGATCTACTGTGAATCTGATTGTCGTATCAGGTATCTATTGTGTTATTTTTGCTTATGTTTATTTGTTTGTTTTATTTTTATATGGACCGCAGCTTCTGGGGTAATAAATGAATTGAATTGAAAGCCACTACACCAGTCTTTCCCAGCCATATTTTTATATTCTGAAAATTTATTGGGAATTTTGTTTTCGATTGCAAATTCATGAGCCAACTTTCGAATGTCTTTAACGGTTAGTGGGAAGCCTGTTTTTTTTTTAAAATTCTAGTATATGACGCTCAAAATCCTTTTCGTCCTAGTGCAAGACTCTTTGATCCCGGGGACTTCTTTAGATTTCGAGAAACATGTCGATGAAGAGTCGCCCTTGGAACAGAATATGTATGTGCTGCAGTCAGGAGTTTTTCTCCATTTTGTACCACTTAAAAAAAATTTTTTTCATGTTTTCTTCTCCCTAATCACATCTTTTTACTAGTTCACTTCCATTTTCATGGCATATTTCCCGAGCAATTATGGGAAAACTGAGACAGTGTCGCTGAGGGGTGAAACGGACACGAAAAACACGAAAACATATTATTTTTGACAGGAAGGCTGAAATGAAACAACTTATGTGGCAAATAATATCCACCACGGCTCACTTTTTTGTTGTCAAAATTTTTATAACAAACTCTACCTAGTTTTTAGCACCTTCATCGGCATTTTCTCTATATATATTTAGGGTGAAAAGATTTGAACAAATATCTTTATGAAACATTGCACTTCATTGGCAGTAAATATATATCATGCGTAGCTGCATTTGTGTCGTAATACAATAGTTTAAAAAACATTACTCCAGATAAGTCACTGGTACAGACATGTCGATACCCAAATTCACAAAGGTACCTGCGTGAATATCATTATTATTTGTATTGCTGTCGAATAGACAATTCGGGACAATTCAGTTTACATAAAATTAAAAAAATCGGCCTCCATAACTCATTTGTAAGCTTGAATGATTTTCTCCCGTCGCGCCTAGGCCTATTTACATCTGGAACAATTGCCTGGTTAAAGATATCTATACCTGACTGGGGATTTTTAGTCAAGTGGAATTGAACTTTGAAAAGCCCAACCCAACTCCCACTTAAAACAGACATGATTTTAAAGAATGGTCCGTACATTTTAGCCTATTTCTCATATGACCTATTTGGTTACTTTACAAAATTATAAGGTAAGCCTAAACGTAACTCTTTATATTAGTTCCACATCTTGTGGATTAATAAATATAAACATAATTTAAGAGTGATTAAATTCGCGATTCGAAATGTTAATTGTCGTAATCGCCTTTAAGCCGGTTTCACGTGCATGAACTGTAGTAGGCTCAAATGCTCTTTTTTCTTATTATTACGTCATTATTAGTCTTCGGAATTGTACGGTAAAGAATTGGTGGATTATTTTGAGAAGATTGCCGGGTCGGTTGGTTCTTCGGGAGTTCGGTCGATCATTCCATGAAACGCCTTGACTGTTACTATTATTTGTGCCTGTTGGAAGTATATAAATTTGATCATCACTTTTGTTTGAAAAATGAGCTCTCTTGGCGACATCGCTAGACCAACATCCAGGTGTGTATTAATTTTTTCTTCAGTTTTTCCGAATACTAAACTAATATAACGTTGAAACTATTTGATGAAAAACAAAAAAATAAATTCATACAGTTGAACTGTTTAAAAGAAATCGTAGCTTAATACACATACACTAATACAGAGTTGTGGTATTACTGAGGCTCATGGTGCTAAGTGTTAGGAATACGCTTGGCACCGGACCGCTGATTACTCTTCGTGGGTTCGAATCCTCTCCCCCAGGATAAATATGTAAAATCCAATCCCACTGTTTTGAACATAAAAATATATACTAAATCAGTAAGTTGAGATGGATGTCGTAGTATTGATATTATGAATATGATATTATACTTCTACTTTTAGGATGTTTTAATTTTGAAATTTCTAATTTTTAGCCATTTGTGCCTCACCAAAGTATCAAAAACACACTTCCAGACTTCATTGAATCTTATAGCAGTCTAGAATAAAAAACATATAATAATATATGTCTTCACTCAGGACTATGTATCGTAGCATCATATCTAATGGAATGATTTGCTTTAATTTCTTGTTGAACATGGCGTAATTTAAAATAGTATATAGGCTTATTCTATATTAAAAAATATTTTTTATAATGTATCATGTGTTAGCAAATTATTTGGACTGGGCCATCTCTGGTAATAGCTAGCTTCTGATTTTATTGATCTCAATACCCTTAATTTATCAATAATAAAATTTTCTGTACCATAACAGTCAAACTTACCCATCACCTTTAAAATTTGAATGCTACTGATTAAAATAATTTCATGGCCAATACCAATATTGTTCATTTTGTGTTGACTAGTTCAAGTTAAATTATAACAAAGTTAACTAAAAATCCTTGCTGTTAAGTTAAACCTTGTCAATCTAGCAGATCTAGTCTGGCTATAAAAAGGTGGTATGATCAGTATTTATTAGGTGGAGGGGAAAGTGAAAATTCTATCAAACAGTTAAAAAAATTTTTATAGACTGGATCGTCTGACTCTCTGAAATGGTGTGATTTTCTTATTACAAAGCAAAACACTATTGATCCCCGATGCTTTCGTAAACTTGCTTAGAAATGGTCAATAGCCTATTGAAGTTAATGTTTAGGAATCATACACTTGCTGACTTGTATTTTTATCTTTCAAATTGAAAAACAACATCTGTAACATTTCATCAGGATGGTTTACCAAACTCTTGCTTTCTCATTCAACTGTCATGTTATAACAGTCATATAACTAGATTTTGTTTTGTATGTTGGTATCCAATAGAAATCTTCGTATAGAGTTGAAAAAAAAACTGGGACATACTTCAGATAGAAGTTACAGAGCACCATTTGCTGGGGTTCTGCCTTTATTCCGAATGATCTTAAAATGAATGCCATACAAATCACTAAAATATGCTGTTTATAATGATTGATTCATTTTCAAACATGTTGCCAGAACCACTAAATTAAGAGGTTCAGAGGGTCGGGGGTATTTTTTGAAAATTAAAAAAATAAAACATTTTCTATAAGATGAACACTCAAATGAAAATTTTACAAGAATTATTCATGGGGAAAAGGTATAAGAGCAAAAAGTTCCAAGAAAATTTTAGCACATTCTCTATTCCTGGCCTGCCTAAAATGCATAAATGGTAAAGTTTGTATAAAGTATTGTCACCAATGAATAAAATCCAACACTACATAATCCCCTTCTACCCATCTATGCCACTTCAGTCTTTCCATAAATTACTAAAACTGGCAATCATGATCATACCCTATATTTTGTAGTCTGTCAAAATTTGTTCATTATGTATCCAAATTATTATTCCGAAACTTTGTGAAATCGTGATAATCAGCGAACCAGTTGTTGGAATGTTGTGATAATCAGCGAACCCATTATTTCCCTGTTTTCTTTTAGTTTGCCACAGTTATTCAAAACGAGAAACTTGTTGTTAGTGGCTTCGATACATTTCTCAAAATTTTGAACCCCGCCACTGATTATGCCTGAAATATTCTGTCTATTTATCAAGACATTTATACTGTTGTATCTGCTTAATAAATACCAGTATAATATCATCTGCCTATGTTGTACCCAACTCTTACCCAAAATTGGCAACACATGATTGCAAATGACACTGTGATGCTGGTTGTAATTTTCAGCATATTTTTCTTTCCAGAGTTCTCCGACCTCCTGGAGGTGGATCGAGCAATATATTTGGAGAGACTGACAACAGTTCAACTAAGAAAAGTCCAAACGCTAAACCAACTTATCAAAGTTCTGTATTCAGCAGTGGTCTAGAACCTGAGAAGCCGAAATCTGCCACCCGTCCCGGTAAATATTTTTGGTATTTTTTTTTTTAAGTTGAGCACATCACAAGATGCATGGCGTTTTTTTAACACTTGTTGGTGCAGTGTCATTTTTATGGGATAGATTATTTTAAACCCTTCATTCAGATCGTATGTCTAGTAATATATTCGGCACAGACAACAATGACAACCAAACCTCTACAAACGCGAAAAAAGTAAGCAAAACGCACCAATCGTCTCTGTTTCAAGAGCCTGAACCTTTAAGTGAAGAGAAGAAAAAAGGTAAGATTTATTTTTATTCTTGTTTGTGCACTGTGTGTTGTGTTTTAGTGTTTGAAGTTTATGACTGGTACATTGAAGCAAACTTTGAATTATTAATTTCTATAGAATAATCTGTTTATAGGCAGAAAATATTGGTCCACAATAACTGAATATTTCTGATTAACTAACTATATTTTCAATTTTTTATTAAATTTAGCCTATTTGTCTCATAGCCTCAAATATCGCAAAATATTCTCGCTTTCATGATATTCGAATAGGCTATTAATCGTATTCAATGTGATAGTAACGAAGCTTAGTGAATAAACTGAGAAGCACTGTTTTTGATGCACTCATAAATGTGTCATTCCTGGTATGTTACCTCAAATAATCGAATTCATCCACTGTGCTGCCAGAACTGATTCTTCATGCTATTTTATGTAATATACGGTTCTCGCTAATTTTATTGAACTGTTGAAGCTCATAGTCATAACCAATGAAAATATGTTTTATCTCAAACTTTTTTTGAGTTACTCGACTTGTACATAACATACTATGTCTAGCATTTTTCATCTTTACTTTTGTTTGAAATACCATTGCAACTCGATATGAAATTAAATACATGTCAAGTTGGTATCTCTGTATACATATGGTATTCATTAAGATGATGGTGTATATGTAATAGTGTATATGTCACACTATGCATTGACTCTTATTAAGTTGTCAGAATGTCAGAGTAATGTTAACAACAACATGCATCACTAGCGAACCAATCTGTGGTTTTCAACCTTTACATGTAACTCACTATACATTGCATCAAGTATTATGGGGAATTGAGATGAGAATACTATTGAAAAGTAGGTTCAATCTAGAAGAAGAAATCTATTAGGTGTACACGCTGTTAAGTGCATATATTAATTGAGTAAACCAGGAAATTTGCAACAGCAACATGAATTAATGTAAATCAGTTATTAGGATTATTTACAAATAAATCCTCATCGTCAATAGGTAAGGTTCATAAGAATAAGGAATAATACAATGTTGTTGAATTAGAATGTAATTGCTAGTATTCCCGACTTTTTGTATTCTCTGTATTGCCATGGTTACCACACCTGTCAGTGCTCATAGTCCTTATCTTCTGAAGTGATAATATTTGATCTATCAGGTCACTTAAACTTATTTATACGTCAGGTTTAGTTAGTAATTTGATGTATGATTTTTCAGTTAGAATATTTTTTAGATATTGCTGATTGATAACCAGTGCTGGTTTAATGGTCTTCCCTCCACCTGAAATGCAATTTTTTACTTTATTCTTTATATGTAGGCTATGCAATGTATTTTTTCAGTATGGTGAAAAATAAACCCTTGATTTTGTGTCAATTTTAGTCCCCTGTTCTGTACAGTTTCTTTTCTTGTCAGTGTGCTCCAAATACTCCAAATATCTAGTGTGTTTCATTACTCTACATAAAAACTCTTTGTATGACACTCAAATTTTAGTCAAAGCCATACTTTTTGATTTATTGATGTTTTGAAATGTAACCAGTGCTGGCAGATTACAGAAATAACGAATCAAATTTGTTGAATCATTTTGTTTTAAATTTGCTATTCAGCTGCTATGAAAAATAATATCAGCAACATACCAATGTTTAATGCAAATTCTCCTGAGGAGGCAAAATCTTCTATTAGACGTCCAGTCACAGCGCCAACTCACATGCCACAGGGATCTTCCCTCAACTTATTTTCAACAATGAACCATGCTACAGATAACAAACCAGGGCCAGGAGAGAAGACTATAACACGTACAGGTCTGAATTGAATCGTAATTTGAGCAAATGAATTTAGATGGTATGATTCTTTGCATGGTTTGATTAAATGTAATTGTTGATAGCATGCTTGGCAGTGTAGTTAGTTAATGAATATATCCTAATTTTGAGCATAAGAATGAAAGTGTTATGTCCATATAATTTATGTGGTTAGAAAGTTTTGATGAATGTTTGTTTTGTTCAGGGTATAAGCCGGCCAATGCAAATCTCAGATCATCAGTTTTTAATTTACAAAAGGAGAAGGAAAGGATTGGCCGACAGCATTACCCTCAGTTTTCATTTAAACCGACATTGATGGATATTCCTGATATGCCGAGAGTTAAGACAAAACCCCTACATAGAAATGAGATGTCTTCTCTCTTTCCAGTTGATGACTTTGTTCAGATTAAAAATGATTGTCAGAAAAGACCTATGAGTGCTACCTATCGTTCAAAAATATTTAGCAATTCAGGGGGTCTGGAACCCCACAGATCGAGACCTTTTCACAGAAATGAGATATCCTCTGTATTTGCACAAGGCCAAGTGATAAATAATGAAGTAAAGCCAGTTAGCGACACTTATCAATCACATGTATTTCAAAATCAAGACACTGCTAGCGATGAAAGATTTGAGCGAGACATTTTCTCAGCAGATGGTAGCATGGTTTGTCTTACAAAACAGAAGTCAGTCCACAATATGAGCGATACACAGTCATTTATGTCAAGCTACAGTGAAATAGCTCAGCCGCCGCAACAAATTTGGTCTACGGCAGATTACAGTTTGGTGGGCTGCCCACGTCGAGCACAATGTTCTAATTCGAAAAAGATGTCAGAATCGTCACTTTTCAAAGAAGAGCAGCAAGGTTACACCCCACCTCTATGGTCCTCCGATCATCACATGTCATCATGCAAATCAGTGCATAGTGCAGTTTCCAATGATACTTATAAATCAACAGTGTTTTCCCCAGATCACAAAAGCACCTGGCGTGCCAATAATTGTTATCCAAATGATGAATCGGAAAGCACTGTGAATGATGAATCCTTATCTCCTAGTATTGCTAATGATATGATAAATACAGCTGAATATTCAATACCAAATTGCCCAGAAAGTGTTATAAATGATACTTGCGATGCAGTTTCTTCCGCGTCAATCAATTCAACTCTAGATTCTAATTTTAAAAATTGAAACTACATTTTATACTTTATTTTTAAGAAAATATGATATATTTATTTACTAAACAATTATGTTCACAGTATTAGCACTGTGTGAAACTACACTTGAGCTATATAAACCCATATTTGGTGCATCAAAATAAGAATTATTTGATATATTTTATCCTTGTTGAATGCAATATAAAAGTACAATTTATGCATTTATATTCTGTTTTTTTCGCAATGGAATAACATCAACAACATAGCGTTTATGATTAAAAATAATTAGGTCTGCGCTCGGAAAACTAGAGGCATTCAACTCTGATTTAGAATGCTTTTGATTTATCATCGTCTGACTAAAATTGTAAGCTATGCTGGAATCGAATAACAAGAGGTACTTTGCTATCTGGAACGGTGCCTGCTGGAATTACACATGTCCAGAATAAATGGGCTATTCGAATACATTCAGAACTCGTTATAATCAGCATAATTTATTCTCGATTTTAGGGATAATTTTTTTGAATATTCTAATTTACAAAATTGGAGTTCATTTGTCTCGAGCCTCTGGAAATCCGACTAAAATTATTTAGTTTTATCTTTCTTCATTATGTTATCCAATAGGATAGCATGCTTTCAATCATTTGATCTTGGTAATTTTGGCTGAATCAATATTGACTAATAGAACTTGCCGAAATTAAAGGTTTGGGTGGCGATTTTCATACACATAAATAGGGAATGAAACATTAACATACACTCATCCTGTGGAGGTGACGTGACCATAGTTTTGCATCTCGCATATTATATCCTTCCTATATCAACGAATCTCCTATTATAAGAATCCCAGATACAGCCAAATAAGAAGATTATGTGAAATCATCGAATACGCTTTCTGGGCATTTTCCCAACGTAAGCTCACATTATTTCTATTCATTTCGTTTATTATAAAAACGGTCCATATAAAAACATAAGCAAAAAGAACACAATAAATATATAAAATACCTGATACGACAATCAGATTCACAGTAGATCTCAAAAAAGAGTTAATACAGTAATTTAAGAGTCCAAAAGTGAAGTATAGAATCCAAGATAGCCCGTCACGAACAGTATCTGGGAATAAAATAATGTCGCTATTGTACGATGTCAGATGTTGTTTACACATTTTATACTTCCAAGGTATGAGGCTGCATTACATAGTAACGGCAGTAGCAGTGAGCTGTAAAGAGATGTCTCTATGCATTTGAGAAATGGAACAGATTATAGCTACTGGTTCATATTTGGTTTTTGCGTCTGGAACTCTGAGCGAGCGGTAGGATGTGTGGAGTTTCTCTGGTTTGCCGCACGTCATGTTGTTTTGTGATGTCTGGAAGTCATTTTTTGTAAATTCCTATGAATTAACTCTTGATCGATACATTTGTCAATACTAAACAGTTTACTCGAGAAGATCGACAAGCTCCATATTTTCATTGAACACTGATGTCGAATCCGATGTTTCACCCTCATTTCGACGAAAATTCGGCAGACACCTACGATCTTCGATTTTTCAGCCACCGGAGGAAGGTAATTGTGCCTGAATATATCTGAATCCACTATTTGTTGTCCATGAAACGTCAGATCGTATTTTTTTCAGTAACCGCAACGATATCGAAAGTTCGCCGTAATCCAATTACTGGAGAAGGAATTGAAATCCCGCAGATTGTTAGAGGACGTCGACCAGCTTTCTGCCAGTCCGGAAATGGCGTGGAATTGCATAAGCCTAGACTGGGGCCAGTGAAAAATGTTACTGGAATGCGGTGCTACAAATTGCATTCGGCTGGCGGAAGATCCACTTTTGGGGGTTGCGAAACTTCACCAAGGCCTTAAAAGCACTGGATTGTTTTCCCGTGTCAAAATATACAGATCTGAATCTCCTATATACTGTATATAAATTTACTATTGTGTTATAACTTATAACAATATGCAATAACTCGTATCTGTGCGATATCCTGTGCAATATATATATACCTATATTATTATTCATGATATAAATATATATTAAATATAAGATTTTATGTATGTCTCATAGTGTCGTACCGTGCCTGCAAGTGAAATTTTGACAGGACGTTTTGCTCCGTGATCTGGCCAAAATGATAGCGGCTAGTGGAGGTGTTGCTATCCTTGCTTTGTTAGTTTGTATGTATCAACTGTAAGTAGGCTACTGCGAGTTTTGTATGTATACATATAACAGTGTATTGTCCGGTTAATATTCCGCCACCTGTGATTATAATTGCCATCCTCACAATCGTCACATACTTCTATTTTTGTTCGGTGGTTGATCAACATGTTCTCGAAATGCCATCACCAAATGACTGGGAAGGGTTGTAATAACTTAATCTCAGAGGCAAAGAAGGGAAGATGGGGTGTTTGAAATATTATGAAGTTCGCATTAATACTGTTAAGCGTATTTAAACCCATTATAGATTATTTATTCTTTTAAACTGCATTTTATGTTATATGCAAATGTAATTGTTTGATGACTTTGCGGTACTCACCAACTTTGTGTATATACATATATATATACACATGGTCTGAAATTGTTAAGCTTTCAATTTCCATTGTCAAGATCACGCGGAAAACTCTTGGTTACCCGTCTTCCGTGGTCTCTTCTATAACATGGGACGATGTTCATCTTTTCCCTTCTCTTTTAACGAGTGGGATATTTAATGGTAAAAAAATCATTCTCTTTTTAAATGATCATTGTTTTGAGTAACTAGGTTCTAAGTTTTAATATTTATCATTATCTTTTGTATTTAGAGGGATCGCGGTCGGATCCGATCACAGGAGGGATATTGGGCCATAATCAGCCTAACCAAGAGCAGATCCCAAAGGGATCGCGGTCGGATACGATCACGGGAGGGATATTGGGCCATGATCAGCCTAACCAAGAGCAGATCCCAAAGGGAAATAGCGGAGCTAAAGCAAACGAAGAAAAGAAAACAAGCGACCCCGCTGCTGATGTGAAGAACGTAAAAAATCTGAATCCACATCTAGGTCCTGTGATTAACACGTCTGGGGTACGTTGTGCTCAGCCTCCGGGAGGAAAATCGTCCATCAGTTTTAGTTAGTCGTGTTCTGTACATTATTAACCGTGGTAATATCTTCAATTAGATCAAATCGTGTGCTTTGCCTCTCGTGTTACTACACGCCGTACATTATCAGCCGCGGTAAATATCTTCAATTGGATCAAATCATGTAGGCCTACTGTTTTCTGTTTAGAATGGACGCTTTCATTTTTTCATCAATATTTGATAGTTATGTGTCGGTTATCATGTCATTGCACCTTGGTGTCAAAAGACGTTAAATTTATATATAATGTATTAAGTATATCTGTTCATGCTGTTACTTGTTATAGTATTTTTGATTTTTGCACGAGTAGTTAGAATTGTTAATCGCAGTGTTATTCTTATTGCCGTTTCTCGGTGCTGCTCTCTAATCCGGATTACTTTCGAATACAACTTCTTCATTCATTGTCTGTCATAGATTTGATGTTTTTGTTGCAAAGGATTATCATTGAGCTGCCCAACTGGAGAACGGGCGTGCTGTTCGAGGATTTTATCATTGAATATATAGAAAATTCGAAGTGATCTATTAATGACTAGTTGGGCGCAATTGGATGTCCAGATTAAGGTTAAGTATTCTATGCCATCGCATAGTTTTGGGAACTAACATTTTGTTCGTAGAAAGGCTTCATTCAATTTGGTCATGGTTCGTGAATGATATTCGTTGGCCGGAAACCGAATCGCCAAAAATTTGTATTCACGAATCTGAGGAAAACTAGAGATAAATGCCAATATGAAGCACTAAATTATGATCCACGTAACTTAATAATTTTTGAAACATTTTTAAAATTTTATTGGTCGCCAGGGGTTTCTTGAAAGGTAAATAGCGTTTGACATGATAAGTGATCATGTTAGGTCAAAGGTCACTGAAGATGACCTTCACGCTAGTGATGTTCTCTGTAGACATGTCGTGTACTGGTATTCTGTGTTAGGCTGTGTTGGTTGTATGTTAATCAGACTGTTTCTGTTGACCGAGAAGTCATCCGTAATAAATGCTTGCTGAATAATATATAAAGCCTCTTATATATGCCTTATGTGTTTGGCTAGACAACACATGACAGCGTTCACCCAAATTGACATCAGCCATCAATGTTGATCATCGACAGATTTTGACCAAGCGTTCTCGAACAAAATTAGGTTCCTGTTTATTTCGGATCTTCATTATAATTTTCAGTTAAAATAAAACTTAATTGCTCTTTCCGAGTTTGGAAAACTGCCCTACTGCTTTTAGCATATTATTATATTCCCACAGTAACATTACCAACATTCGTAATTTTGGAGTCCAACAGAATATGTATCATATTTGAACCTAATATTCGAATTGTAGGGCTCACGCAGTTTTTTCAAAGCGATTTTATTACGTTGAACAACATTTAAGACTCAGTAACTGTTCCTAATATTTACTGAACTGTCCTGGCTTATTTGGGTTTGTGATAATGATGATCCATGCGTCTAGCCTCAATGTGAATCAAAATATCAAATGATTTAATTATCATATCTTTTATAATAGCGTACCTTACCATTTACCAGTGGCGGCGCGTGGTCATTTTGACAACCGGGGCAAGCTACTGCGGGACCAAGTCACCCCCATCTACGGGGACAGGATGAGCGCTGTAAGTTCTCCCATCATTTTATGAGTATAAAAACCATTCCATCGGTAACAACCAATCGGCAAAAGCGACAATTTTTAACGATAAGTAAGTGTCTTTAAAACCGGTCCAAGTCGAGGGATTAATAAATATAGACATAGTTTATTTTGAAACCTCTTTCAAAAGGAAAGGCAATATTTACCCAGATAAATACAATGACATATTAACAGGAACTTCGGGAAAGCAGACAATACCTAAAATAAGGTTTAAAACGTTACTATGAAGAAAGGAAAGGTAATGCAAAGATAAGGACATGCGTCGCTCACTCATAGATATATATGCTGCTAGACTTCTACTGCTTGAACATATATGCAACACGCCGCGGTTTCTTGGAAGCAAAATGCTCAATAACGCGCTGATTAAAGTCATGCATCCCAGAAATAACGTCTCTGTGAATGGATAAAACAGCCAAGGAATTTAATCTATCTTGCTTCATTGTGTTTCTGAGATACG